ACGAGACCAGGTTTGCTGGTCTGATAGAGACTGGTGGACCCACTAAGACTTTGGCCCCTAGCTGCCCTTCAGGTCTGGAATTGAACCCACACCTGTGGTTTCCAGCCAAACAAAAGACAGGCATATATGTTGAACATTTATCTCAAGTAGATACACTCCTTGGAGAGAACAATCATGGGAGAAAGAATGGCTGCTTATGCACAAGGAGACAGCTGACAGGGCAGGAATCCATGGAGGGATGGACACAGGGAAGACGTAACTATGGGGAAGAGAAGGAGGGGAGCTGTTGCATTGTGGTAAACTGTTGTCAATGACATGAGACAAAGTTTATGTGAACTGCTGTATGGAAAGTGAATTTGCTCTGTTAATCTTCACCCAAATCACAATTAAAATAATAATAATAATAAAAAGAAAAAATAGCATCTAGCACACTGCCTAGTAGGTGATCAGATAAGTTGTTTATTGAATGAATAAATGAAATTCAAAGGAGAGATGAAACCGTGATCAGAGGTCCCTTTGGCTAATACTGTTTTTTTACCTTTTATTTGAGTTTCATCTATCCATTCATTAACACTTCTTCTGGTAGCATAGTGGCTAAGGCACTTGACTGCTAACCAGAAGGCTGGCGGTTCAAACCTACCAGCCACTCCTCGGAAGGAAGGTTGGGCATTCCTACTTCCGTAGTGATACTGCCTCGGAAACCCAAGGAGGGGTCGCTATGAGTCGGGGCCAACTCGACAGCACACAACAACAACAACAACATGATGTTAGCAGCCTTCTGGTTAGCAGTCAGATAGATGCCTTAGGCACTGTGCTACCAGAGCTCTTTTTTTGTTTATGATGTTACACATTGTTCATGAAATCCAAGATTGACTAAGTTTTCCTCTCAGTCCTTAACACAGCTCAGTCTTGTGAGGAAGGTAGATGTAAAGTATGGCAAACTGTTTACAAGCTGCTCTGGTCATATGAAGGAAGGGGATGGACAGTTAGGCCAAGTAGTCAAGGAATTCATCTCAGAGACTATGATGAGGACATAGAGTGTCAGGTTTCCCACTGCTTTTGGAAAATGCAGCCCAGGAGTTCTGGCAAGAGATCTGGGTTAGCGACACAGATTAAGGACTTGGCAGTTCAGGCAACAACTGCAGCTGTGACAGTAGAGGAAATCACTAAGGAGAGCATGAACATGAAAAGAGCAGAGGCCAGAACTCTGAGTAGCATACTTAAGGCAGGAACAAGGAGAGAGGAGCCAAAATAAGATGGAGACAAAATGGTCCAGACAATAGAACCTGCGAGGCTAATAATGTGGTGAACGCAAAACCCATTGAAAACTATTGCCCTTGAGTTGACTTTGACTCATAGAGCACCTATAGGACAAAGTAGAACTGTCTGTCCCATAGGGTTTCCACATATTCCATAAACTTTACAGAAGCAAACTTCTACATCTTTCTCTCACAGAGTGGCTGGTGCGTTCTAACTTCTGACCTTCAGTTAGCAGCTGAGTGCTTTAACCACTGTGCCGCAGGGCTCCTATGGTGGAAGCAAAAGGAAAGAAAAATAGAGATCATCAGGGGCAAAGTCTTGAGAAGCCAAATAGTATAGGGATTATAACAAGCCTCCAACTTCATAATTAGATCATTGGTGTGCTCTCTGAGAGCAATATCTGTGGACTTGTGAGTTAGAAGCCAGATTTCAGGTTTTTGAGGCACTAGTGAAAAGTGAGGAAATGGAGAAGTACTGAGTATAGAGTATTTTTTCAAAAATGTACCAGGTAACTGGAGGGAACGGAGTTTAGAGGGTTGATTTTAAAATAGCTGAGATTTAAGTCTGTTATGGAACTGAACTTGAATATACATTGAATATGTATTCAAGTTTGGGTGCTCATTAAAATGCAGATTCCTGTAACTTGCATTTTTTTAATCAGCCAGTTCTCTTGTAGGTAGGTGGGGGGAAGGAGGAAAAAGTTTGAAACAAATGAAGAGAGAAGTGGCAATTGAGCTGAGCAGGTTTGGAGGGGGCGAAAAAGGATGGGTCCCAAGAATAGTCACAGGGCTAAGAACACACACAAAGGTGTAAAATGGGTGTGCCTATGAATGAGTTCCAGCTTGGGACCCTGTTGGCTTTCTTTAAGTGGATATGTTATGTGCCACCCAAAGGCTTCTGAGCAGTGTCCCTGGGTGGTGGAAATGGTTAACTAACCAAAAGATTGGCAGTTCAAACCCATGCATAGACCTCTTGAAAGAAAGGCCTCAATATCTGCTTCTGAAAGCCCACAGCCTTGAAGACCCCATGGAGCTGTTCTACTCTGCATACCTGGGGTCACCAGGAGTTGGAATCAACTCAGTCATAACTGGTTTGTGTTTTTGATATTTAAATGGTTCTGGGAATCTGGCCCAAGGGTACAGTTGGTAGTGAGGCCCTTGAAAATGGATAGGACATGTGTAAGTCTTATTTCTGTGCCCTTTTGTGTATTATCTCCAGTGTGTCTTAGTTTAGCCTATGAGCCTCTTAGAAGGAGATCAAGTTTGTGAGAGTCTTGTAAGATGTAAGTCAACCCCATTAAACAGAGAAGGGGAAGCAGCTAGGTACACTGTATTCCCTGAAAGCCAGAAAGTGTCCCTTAACAGTTTTACAGAATAGGGACCTTACTTTTTCCATTGCAAGAGCAAAGATCCAGGTTTTGCTGGAGTCTACTGAAGATATTCACCAGGCTGTATTTAAGTGCTTATATTTCCCACCTCAATATATTGAAGTGATTTTAAATTTTTAAACATTGCTTTTCAGTTCTTAAAAATAATTGTGTGATTTCCCCTATGGTCAACTATTTGTCATCTTCATAAACGATACTTAAATTCTAGCAGCTTTCCTAAAAGGAAAACTAAGATACTCTTATTTATTTCAGCTTAAAGCCTTTATGCCGATCCTTTCAAAGCACTGAACCAAAGTATAAACCACTTGGAAAATTGAAGAGAGCTAGAACAACCCACCTAGACACAGGTAAGAGAGATGGTTCTGGGTTCAGAGCTGTGGTTTTCCCCCAAAAGACTGCTTTTCAAGGTGCTTTGGTCTGGTGAAAGCTGCATCGGGCAGAGGTAAATCTGAGACCCACAGTAACTTGAACATATCATATGGCATCAGAGAGTGCTTTGCCTTTCTGTCTTCAGTCTGTAAAATTAGGAAGCAACTTAATTTCATAGGCTTAAAGTAGCTAAGTGAATTATACCTATAATGTATGGTACAAGGAGTTCTGGTGGCATAGTGGGAAAGGCATTTGGCTGCTAACCAGAAGGTTGGTGGTCCAAACCCACCAGCTGCTCTGTGGGAGGAAGTTGAGGCAATCTATTTCCGTGAAGATTTACAGCCTTGGAAACCCAATTGGGGACACTGTGAATCAGAATCAACTTGATGGCAGTGGGTTTGGTTTTTTGGTTTTGTATGGTATGCTGAGCTTTCTGGAAATATACCCTATGATTTGTACTGGCCATAAGGAGAGGGTATTTATCCTTGGACATTTCCTTTAAAATAGCAGCAAATGTTGATAATGGAAATTCTTTTCTGTCATCATTTCTGATCAGATTGATCAGTAGTGCTTATGCAAATGGATTTTCTCTACTTCCCTATCTTCTTTCATTGTTATATTCATTTTCCACTGAAGGTTTTCTTAGAGACACTGTGGTGGTTATATTTGTGTGTCAAGTTGGCTGAGCCTGGTTGAGTGGCTGGGCAGCTGAATATAGTTATTCCCCATGGTGAGACTGATAATTAACTCCATGGCGGAATTTGCTGTGAAAGGTGAGTAGTTGCCTTTGGATATGTGGTCTGCTTCCCGTATATAAGAAACAGCTTTGGGAATGGTCTCTAGCTTATGGCATGCTTGGACCCTGCATGTAGTCGTGTCGTTGTTCAGCAGCCTGCCATACTCTGCCGACCTTGGGACTTTCAATGGACTTGAATTAATGACCTGCCATGTGGTTTGGTAACATCAGGACTGTGCCATTTTATTTGTTGACCTTGGGCTTGTTAGCCTCAGCAGCCGGTAGCTACCTGAGTGGAGAGATGCCTGTAGCTTCATTGGGCCAGGAGCAAGAGGCAGAGCTGAAGCTCAAGGTTCAGGGGCTTTCAACAGCCCCTAGAGACTGGCACTTGGAACTTGGACTTCTAGCCTCCCGAACTGTAAGAGAATAAACTCCTGTTTGTTAAGGCCATCCCATTTGTGGTATACTCTTGTCAGGGCAGCACTAGGTAGCCAGAACAGACACCATATTGTTGAGTCTTGTTTTTAAACCAATCTGACAATTTCTGCCTTTTAATGGTATTTAGACCTTTTATGTTTAATATGATTATTTATATGATTAGGTTTCTGTCTGTCTCCTTGCTATTTGTTCTGTCTGTTCTTTATTTCTTTTTCCCTCTTTTTATGTCTTCTTTTGGATTGAGTATTGTTTGTGATTCCATTTAATCTCTTGTTGGTTATTAGCTGTAACCCTATTTTATTTTAGTGGTTTGTAGTATTATATCTTTAGCACAGAGTAAAAGTTAAGGTCAATGATGTTACAGTACTTCAAGTATGGTATAAAAATCTTAACTACAGTAAACTTCCTTTTTTTCTCATCCTAGTCTTTTAGTATAAAGACTCTTGGTATAAACAGTCTTTATATTAAACTTTTTGTATAAAGACTATTATTACTTATACTATTATTGTCATACGTTTTATTTCTACCTATGTTATAACCTTCACAGTGCAGCTTTCTTTTTCTTTAAACAGTTATATTTTAAGCTTTCAGTGTGTAATTTAGATATCATAAATCTCACCCTTTTTATGGGTGTAATTCATTGATTGTTAGCGTAACAGAGTTGTGCAATCACACCACTGTCTAATTTCAGATCATTTCCATTATGCAAAAAATAAATTTTGTGCCTGTTTGCAGTCACTCCCCATTACTACCTCTAATTCTAGGTTCTTTCCATCTTTTTGCTATTGTAGATAGTGTTATGATGAACATGGGTATGCATGTATCTATTCCTGTCCTGGCTCTCACTTGTTTAGGATATATACCTAATAATGGGATGGCTGGGTCAAATGTATTTCTAATTCCAGCTTTCTGAGGAATCGCCATACTTCTTTCCACAGTCATTGTATCATTTCACAGTCTCAACAGCGGTGCATAAGAGTCTCATTCTCTCTGCACTCTCAGCCAGCATTTGTTATTTTCTATCTTGCTGAACTTTGCTACTAGTGCTGGGGCAAGATAGTATCTCATTGTTGTCTTGATTTGCATCTCTCTAATGGCTAATGATCATGAGCATTTCTTCATATGTTTGTTGGCTGCTTGAATATCCTCTTTGGTGTAATGTCTATTCATGTCTTCTGCCCATTTTTTATTTGGATTATTTGTCTTTTTGTTGTTGAGGTATTAGAGTTTTCTACAAATTCTAGAGATGAGTCCCTTGTCAGATATGTTGTTGCCAAATATTTTTTCCCGATCTGTAGGTTCTCTTTTGACTCTTTTGGAGAAGTCTTTGGAAGCACATAAAAATTTAATTTTCAGAAGGTCCCATGCACATCTAGTTATCTTCAGCTGTTTGTGCATTTTGGGTTATGCTTGATAGTCTATTTATGCCATATATTAAGGCCCCTAAATTTGCCCCTAGTTTTTCCTTGAGGAACTTTATAGTCTTAGGTCTCACATTTAAGTCTTTGATCCATCTGGAGTTAGTTTTTGTGTATGGTGTACTGATCTTGTTTCATTTTTCTGCAAGTGGATATCCAGTTTTAATAGCACCATTTGTTAAACAGACAATCTCTTCACCATTTAATGGATTTTGGCCCTTTGGCAAAGATCAGCTGACCATGGGTGAATGGATGGATCTATTTCTGGGTTCTCAATTCTATTCCATTGTTCTGTGTGTCTGTTGTACCAATACCAAGCAGTTTTGACTACTGTGGCTGTGTAGTAGGTTTTAAGATCCAGGAGTATGAGACCTCCTACTCTGTTGTTCTTCTTCAATAATGCTTTGCTTATTCGAGGTCTCTTTCCTTTCCATATGAAGTTAGTGATTGGTTTTTCCATATCCTTAAAGAATGTTGACGGGATCTGGATTGTAATTGCATTGAATGTATAGATGCTTTGGGTAGCATTTGACATTTTCACAATGTTCTATCTTCCTATCCATGAGCATGGTATGTTCTTCCATTTATGTAGCTCTCTTATGGTTTCTTAAAGTGGTGATTCATAGTTTTCTTTGTACAGGTCTTTTGTGTCCCTAGTGAAATTTATTCCAAAGTATTTTGGTTTTTTTTGGTAGCTATTGTAAATGGTATTGATTTCCTTATTTCTTTTTTAGCAATTTCTTTGCTAGTGTAGAGGAATCCAACTGATTTTTGAATGTTGATCTTGTATCCCACCACTATGCAAAATCTCTTTATTAGTTCCAGTAGTTCTTTGCTGAGTCTCTTGTGTTTTCTTTGTATAGGGTCATATCATCAGCAAACAGTGATAGTTTTACTTTTTCCTTACAAATTTGGATGCCTCTGATTTCCCTTTCTTGCCTTACTGCCCTGGCTAGGATTTCCAATACAGTGTTGAATAGAAGTGGTGATAGTGGGCATCTTTGTCTGGTTCCTGTTCGCAAGGGGAATGTTTTCAGTTTCTCTCCATTGAGAATAATATTGGCTGTTGGATTTGTATAGATTCCCTTTATTATGTTGCGGAATGTCCCTTCTATTCCTACGTTGCTGAGACTTTTGATCAGGAATGGGTGTTGGATTTTATCAAATGCCTTTTGTGCATCGATTGATGTGGTCGTGTGGTCCTTTTCCTTTGTTTTATTTATGTGGTGGATGATATTGATTGTTTTTCTAATGTTGAACCATCCTTGCATACTTGATATGTACCCCACTTGGTCATAATGAATTGTTTATTGGATATGTTGTTGGAGTCTTTTGGCTAGGGTTTTTTTGAAGATTTTTGCATCTATATTCATGAGGGATATTGGTCTATAGTTTTCCTTTTGAGTGATGTCTTTGCCTGGTTTTGGTATCCAGGTTATGCTTGCTTCATAAAATGAGTTAGGGAGGATTCCATCCTTTTCTATGTTTTGGAATAGTTTGAGTAGGATTGGTATTAGTTCTTCTCTGAATGTTTTGTATAATTCTCTAGTGAAACCTTCTGGGCCAGGACTTTTTTAGTTGGTAATTTTTTTATTTCAATTTCTTCTTTTGTGATGGACCTGTTCAACTTTTCCACATCAGTCTGTGTCAGTTTAGGTAAGTGGTGTGTTTCTAGAAATCTGTCCATTTCCTCCAGATTTTCAAATTTGTTGGAGTACAGTTCTTCATAGTATCCTGATATTATGCTTTTCATTTTGGTTGGTTCTTTTGTGATGTGGCCCATTTCATTTCTTATTTGTGTTATTTCTATTCTCTCCCTCTTTTCTTTTGTTAAATTTGCCAGTGGTTTGTCAGTTTTCTTGATCTTTTCAAAAAACCAACTTCTAGTGGTGTTTTTTTTTTTTTTCTATTGTCTTTCTATTTTCAGTATTTATTTCTGCTCAAATCTTTATTATTTCCTTTCTTCTGGTGACTGCATCTTTGTCATCTTTGTTGAGTTTCTTTTAATTTGTTCTATCTTTCATTGAAAGTGGTATAGTAAAATCGCCTACTATGACTGTGGAGACTGTATTTGCCTTTCAATTCTGTTAAAATCTGATTTATGTATTTTGGGGGCTCTTTCATCAGGTCCATAGATATTTATCATGGTTATATTCCTGTTCAATTGATCCTTTAATCATTATATAATGTCCTTCCTTGTTTCTTTGGTGTTTTTTGTCTTAAAGTCAATTTTATCCGAAATGAATATTCATACTCCTACTCTTTTTTGGTTGCCATTTGCTTGATATCTTTTTCCAACCTTTGATTTTCAGTCTATTTTTGTCTTTGTCCCTAACGTGTGTCTCTTTAGACAGCTTATTGATGGGTTTTGCTTTCTCATCCAGTC